TTCCCATACATTTCTTATTGAGAAGATTTGGTATCAAAAGAAATTGCTATGCCATGACATACAATTGGGAAGTCTTAGTAAATTAGCACACAAAAAGCATTATTTTTGATGTGGGCTAAACTTTTAGGTTGTCTCCTGTGTGATACTGGGATTTAGGCTTCATCATGAAGCACTACTAATGTGAAAATCTAGCTCTAGCCACATAGATGTAGGAAATCTTAAGCATTGGACATGGAAGTAACATATTTAGTTTTTAGTTGTATTGATCAGAATTCATGACAGGGTCCAACTTAACTGCAGAGAGAGTTGGGAAATGTAGTTTTCTGTGTGTTTCCAGGGGGGCAAAAGGATATGAAAGACAAAAGGAAGATGGGAATGGTGGTTCCTGCCTATAATCCCAACACTTCAGAAGTGGAGGAAGGAGGATCTTGATTTAAGGCCAATCTGGGCTGTACATATATATGCATTATATATCTATATATTCATAAGCTGTATATAAGTTTATCCATAATATATTTATAGTAATTTATAAGTTATATTTATAAATATAATGGTTGCTATGGTCAGGAATCTAGAAACTCATTACAATATTCTCTTCTCATAACTCTAAACTTGTAATATAAAGTTTAAGCCAGACTGAGCTACAGAGATATGTTCCCCAAAATCAAGGGCTAGGGATTCAGGTCAGTGGTAAATTGCCACTGCAGACCTTGCATATACAAGGCAAATGCTTTAAAATTCTTTACCAAACACACACACACACAGACAACAGGATTGTGAGCATTTGGTTAGATTCACCTCACAGCCTATTTGAATATGTTGCTTGCCTTCCAAATAATATATGCACATATGCAACAGCACACTCTGTATTTAAGGCTTTCCTTTTTAAAATTTCTCTCAGCTCTGTTTGTTTTATTCCGTACTGGGAAAGATAGCATGTATGTAGAATGGGCATAAATCATGTAGTAGGGTTTAAAATGCAGTTATAAAGCAAACAAGTACAGTACTGTGCAGCCAGTGCCAAAATCAAGAATTAGAACATGACCAGAAGTGGTGCTATGGCTGAAGTGGTAAAGCACTAGCCTTGAGCTGAAGAGCTGAAGGACAGCGCCCAGGCCCAGAGTTCAAGCCCCACGACTGACAAAAAAAAAAAAAAAAGGATTTGGGCTGGGAAGGTGGCTCAATGGTAGAGTGCTTGCCTTGCATGCATGAGGCCCTGGGTTTGATTCCTTAGCACCACATAAGCAGAAAAAGCCGGAAAGTGGCACTGTGGCTCAGGTGGTAGAGTGCTAGCCTTGAGCTGGAGAGCTGAGGGACAGTGCCCAGGCCCAGAATTCAGGCCCTTTCACGGGAAAAAATAAAAAGAACATGACCTTTGCATTCTTAACCAATCACAGCTCCTCACTGGTGCTGCATTTTCTGGGAATTTTTTTCCTTCAGCATTACGTTTATTTGTACCAGATTTTATTCTCTTCTCCTTTTGATAAAGGTTTTGAAATTTTCCCTCTTCTCTAGACTTGTACTCAGCTCTCAACATTTTCTACACTGTGTTTAGTAAAATGACTCTTGCCACCATAGCCACCAATGATTCCTCTTACATTATCTTCATCAGTTGCCTTATAGTCCTGTCTTTCTGAATTGATAGATGAAATTTGACAGCTATAGCAATTTTCTCTTCCTTGAAGCCATTGACTCATTACAGTAGATTCTTCTAATGATTCTAGCTGACTCTCCTCAGTTTTCTTTTTCTTTTTTTTTTTGTTGCTGTTGGTCCTGGGGCTTGAACTCTGGTTTGAGCACTGTCCTTGAGCTCTTCAACTCGAGGTGAACACTCTACAGCTTGAGCCACAGCACCACTTCTGACTTCCTCAGTTTTCTTACAGTTCTATTTTCCTCATGAATCTATTTCTCATGAATTTGTTACTTCTGGGAGTGAACTCTACTTTTTATGTTTTAACTCCTGCTCATAAATTTATATCTATATCTATAATTGTTTATCTATAGAAATTTATTTCTATAGTTATATACACTCATATAAGATGTGGACAACACACTTGAGATTTTTTTAGCCACTTCCACAGGGATAATTTATATGGATCCCTAGCTTAACAAGGCTTGAATGATTTCATCTTGCTTAGGAACAATGACAAAATTAACAGCTATAATCTATTGACAACTTCTAGGCACCAGATATTGTTTTAAGTGGCTTGATTTTCATTTTAACGACTAATTTTATAGGCTAGTATTGTCAATGTACAGATGAGGACCAACTGAGAAAGAAATATATTAAGGATATTACCTAAGGTCACAAACAAAGAGCCTGGCACCAGTGGCTCATGCCTGTACAATCCTAGCTACTCAGGAGGCAAAGATCTGAGGATCACCTTTTGAAATTAGCCTGAGAGGGAGAGTCCATAAGAGACTCTTAGCTCCCGTTAATCACCAAAAACAAAAAAAATCAGAGGTAGAGCTGTGGCCTCAGATTCATTGCCTGGGTCCTGATTTCAATCTCAGGTCTAGCATAAACACACACACACATACACACACACACACACACACACACACACACACACACACACACACAGAGAGAGAGAGACAGAGAGAGAACCTTGGACTTGATATTAAGTCTGACATTCCATCTTCAAATCACAATTCTAACTCCTTTATAATTGCTTTCTCTCAAGTCAGAGCTTTTGTCTAAACTTCACGACAAGTTCAATGGACCTTGCAGTAATATTTGGTTTATTCAGAAAAAGATATAATATTTGAAATTTATGTAAAACTTTAAAAAATTCTTCATAAGAAAGAAGGATGGCCAATAGACACATGAAGAAATGTTCAACATCCCTAGCCATAAAAGAAATGCAAATCAAAACAACATTGAGATACCACCTC